GTGATCCCTCCAACTTTGTTCTTTCTCAGGATTGCTGTGGCTATTTGGGGTCTTTTTTTATTCCATATGAATTTTTGGAGAGTTTGCTCTAGGTCTGTGAAATATGCCGTTGGTATTTTAATGGGGAGTGCATTGAATCTATAGATTGCTTTGGGTAGTATGGACATTTTGATGATGTTGATTCTACCAATCCATGAACACGGCATGTACTTCCATCTGTTTATGTCTTCCTCTATCTCTTTTTTCAGTGTCCTGTAGTTTTCCACGTACAGGTCTTTTACCTCATTAGTTAAGTTTATTCTTAGGTATCTTAATTTTTTTGGTGTGATGGTAAATGGGATAGCTTTTTTAGTCTCTCTTTCTGTAAGTTCGCTATTGGTGTATAGAAATGCCATAGATTTCTTGGCATTAAGTTTGTATCCTGCTACATTGCCAAATTCACTTATTAAGTTTAATAATTTTTTTATGGAGTCTTTAAGGTTTTTCTATGTACAGTATCATGTCATCTGAGAATAAGGACAGTTTTACTTCTTCTTTTCCAATTTGGATGTCTTTTATTTCTTCTTCTTGTCTGATCGCAATGGCTAGTACTTCCAGTACTATGTTGAACAGGAGTGGTGAAAGTGGGCATTCCTGTCTTGTTCCTGTTCTTAGTGGAAATGGTTTTAGTTTTTGCCCATTGAGTATGATGTTGGCTGTGGGTTTGTCATATATGGCTTTTATTATGTTGAGGTATGATCCTTCTAGTCCCACCTTGCTGAGTGTTTTTATCAAGAAAGGGTGTTGAATTTTGTCAAATGCTTTTTCTGTGTCAATTGATATGACTATGTGATTTTTATCTCTCAATTTGTTTATGTGATATATCATGTTTATTGATTTGTGGATATTGTACCCTTCTTGCATCCCCGGGATAAATCCTACTTGGTCATGGTGTATGATCTTTCTAATGTACTACTGGATCTGATTTGCTAGAATTTTGATGAGGATTTTGACATCTATGTTCATGAGGGATATTGGCCTGTAGTTCTCTTTCATTGTGTTGTCTTCATCTGGTTTTGATATTAGGGTTATGCTGGCTTCATAGAATGAGCTTGGAAGTGTTCCTTCCTCTTGAATAAATTTACCTAAGATTTTTGCTGTGTAGAATAGACCTTAAAGAACTTAAAATATCTTTATTCCCAATATTAAAATATGCTTGTATATTTCAACATGTTATATATAATTTATTTTTGCTTAAAGAAAGATAACAGACCCACACACCACGTGTTTCAATTTATAAATGTGTAAAATGTGTGTGTGTGTGTGTGCACTCATGTATGCGTGCAATAAATACGTACAAGGTACTAATGAAAAGGAATGGTCACTGCTGCAAAACAACACAACTCATGATAGAAAAGACCCTTTTAGGTCTCTAAGTCCACATCTTCCTGCCAGGGTGTCTAGTCCCTGACAATACACTATTGAGCTGTTTTGTGTGTTTTTAATCCCAGGAAACATGTGTAGCATGATTCACTATTAAGAAATCTCATGATTCCCCAGCTTCAGTTTCTATTTTTTTTCAATGTATTATCCTTGTCCTATGTAAAGGAAAACTTACTATTAGCAATATACTTGTGGTGAAATGTTAAGACACTTTTAACATTTGCCATATCAGAGGGAAAATGCAACTTGGGTTAATAACCTGCTAATCATTGGTAAGTCATACATCGTTTATGCATGAGAGCTTGAATTTCTTTTTCTGAATAGTGGCAAACATACAAACAAAACAAAACACACCAGGAAACTCATTTATGTCTATCAAACTATTGCAATTATTGGCTGCTTTTACCTAGAAATGTCTGTTTAAAATGTGAACCCTGAGAAAGAAGATATCTACTAAAAAGGGCTCCTGGTGGTTGACTGGGCTGAAACAAACAAATTAACAACAATAACAACAACAACAACAAAAAACAAAAAACAAAGAAAAGAGTCTAGCAACCATTTATACCATGCCAACTGTACTTCAGGGAGAAGCCTGGTACCTGCCTCTGCACTGAACTGCTTTCCTGAACTGTGTTCCTGCCATCTGAGCCAGCCTTTATAAAGTAGTTACTGGAATCTATTTCAAGCAATAAGACTGAGGCTTTCCCTATCCAATCAGAGCTGCACCGGTTATCTCCATTAGCTTCTTCACTGACCAATCAGGATAGTGACTTTTGGGCTAATCAAACTGTGAGGATTTAGAAACCTCATTTGCATGAGGATGGACCAATTAGGGACCAGGGGTGGGGATTTCTGTCAATATAAGTCAGCTCCCTTCTGGCTCTGGGAGCCCATTTTCCCTTACGTAAAAGGCTGCTTTTTCCTGGCTGGAGCTGAAACACTGAAAATGTCTCACTGGAACAGAACAGAGCAGACCAGTGCAGGCCAGATCAGACTGGCATAGAATGGAGAAGGTCAGCCGGGAGCAGGCCAGAGCTGTCTAGCCAGAGAGGGCCTGACCCCATGGCCACCTGGCCCCAGGGCCACTTCACAGTCATTAAGATCATTATCGAGTTGTTCCACAGCTGTGCTGTTTTCACAGCCATGCTATATCACAATTAAGCTGTTTTTCACTTAATAAAGTTTCCTTCTTCACCACACCCCAAACTGGAGATTTCTGTTTGCATTGAGTTGGTGCCAGTGACCACCAGTTGACAAGTAAAATATCATTTTAATTGGATTAGATGAGAGTGGAGTGTAATATAGGCACCAAATAGCTGGAAACAATGACAAAGCCAACGGCACCTGAGAGCTTTCCAAAACCATAATAGGCTTTACAAGACTTTGCCTTGTAACTTGTTTGCTATCATGCAATGAATGTCTATCAAATGCCTACTGAATAAATTCACTATTTGTCTTAGTGTGGATTGTACCAAAACTTTCTAGGGAGAGAAAATAACATCTATTAAAGAATCAAAGAATGGCATAAAAAATAATAGACACAAACCATTAGCTGCATGGCATAAATTAGGACCACAATGGAATTTCAGAAGAAGGAGCTTTAATTTTAGATTAAAGTAGTTGTGAAATATTTCATGTGAAGTTGGGGCTTGAGTTGTATTTTGAAGGATGGATACAATATACAAAGGGAGAGGACGGATGGCATCCAGAAGGATGTCTGGACGTAGGAATAAAGTAAAATTTTTAGAATTGTGTAGTTCAGACTTTTAATCCTAATTAGAGCTCATGTTTGATATAAATAGAAATATAAAGTGCTAATTGGACCTTCTAGAGATAACAAGATCAACCAGATAATTAGTAAAGTTGTACCTATTGGGGAATACTTGAAGACACTCAGATTTTATAGTTAAAGGTAAAACTAGAATCATCTCAAAACCTACCTTCAACAAAAAGCTGGTAAGCTACCTCAATTACTTATTGAGCTCTGAAAATGAATGAATAAATTGCATGCCTGTTTGTTTGTTTGAGTGACTGCTTTTAGGACAGATAAATGGGTAATGGAAGTTGAGGATTTTCTAAAAAATAGCTTAGTTGTGAA